GGTCCAGGAGGCAACTGTGCAGCGCTTGGAAAAGCTTGCTTCGGCCTGCCCGGCCTCGCACCTAGAGCTACGGCAGCTCTCGAGTCTCTGGTTCGGATAGGTCCTGGCCCACCGACACCGGCGCCGACGGCTGGGTTGCCACCTAGTCCACCGCTTGAACCGGAGCCTTTCTGACCCTCGTCGTCGGGATTCTCGACGGCGCGGCCCTTTCGAAAGTACGGTTTACTTGCAGCCAATCTTCGCAGGAGTTCTCTAGCCTTTTCGTCCGTTTTTTCGTATTCTTCGACTCCCGCGCGACCTTCTTCAATGGCGAGTTCGTTATTTTGGGCAAAATATTCGCGGTTGATGTCGGACGATGGCCCCGGGGCTACCATCTTCAAGGCTGCATCGCGAACCACGATGGGCAGCCCAAAAGAAAGGTCCAGCATGCATGCCTGGCAACAGTTTTTGAGCCGCGCGCAGGTCAGGCAGATGTTTGTTCGCTTCTTTCGGCCGTGTGCTCGGTCAGCACTCCAGCTGAAGACAGTGAAAGGTCTCGTACACTACGACGGAGTGTTAGCAGAATGCTGAACGTTGAAAATAGAGTGGCGGGGAAGGTAGCAATACCAATTTGCACTCGGAGCCATAATCTTCTTTCAACATTTTGACGTAAGGATTCTCTGGTAGACAGTTTTCGCAAACAGAAGGGAAATCAGTCGATTCCCAGCCTGAGCGATTCAGGTCTTGTTTGATTTGTGGTGGCATGGCGCCTCGGGGTTCGCAGAGCTCTGCGACGAGTGCGGATCGTGATGTGAGGTGGCCGATGATACGGATCGTGAGATTTTTCAGTGTGGTGAGCGAAGAATCCTGATGTCGCTCGCGAAACTACGTAGGAATGAATGTCGAGCGCGGGCCCGACCGCGCAGGGTTCACTCATTACGGTGCCTACCTACCCACTCCCCACCACATTTCCTCACTCTAGTCTCCAGGTACCGATACGGAGTGCGTATCTAAAAGTGTGGCGTCGAGCTGCTATCAGTGCTCCACGTCCCGCCTCTTCACGTGATATCCGCCACATTTGCAAACTCGCTGGGCCAGTCACCGAACATCTTATCTACATAGTATTCCTCGTGCACGTAAGGCTCATTCAGTACCTTAAGATACTTCAGTTATAGAGTTTTGACTGGACAACCTGGATTCAAGGCATCACGAGTACGAATAGTGTGTGCTGTGTATATTTGAATTACCAGAGACCGAGAAAGTTCCCGATCGATGATGCCCTCCTGGTCTGGTTGTGAAACCAGGGTGGACGGTCGTCTCCAAAACTCCGAAGATGCTCTTGAGCCGTAGAACGCATCAACAAGTCCCTGAATCGACTGTCGACAAGACTGATTGATGGTGCCTACCTGGATATCCGCGTATCTCTAGAACCAGGTAGGTGGCGGATACTCAAGCCCAACCACATCAGGGAATAATCTGGAAGGTGCCTCAGAGGCTAAGACGTGTGTGCAAAGTGTGGCAGTCTATCAGATCGTGCTAGGTAGAAGAACCATAAGCTAAAAATCACTACCAACTGTTCGAATTCGTATTCGGATTGGATAGCCCCTGGCCGGTATGCATATGTTTCCCGCCTAGCCGTCGTCTCACCGCCTGCTCAACAAAGCAAGTACTCGAACCCTTTGCGCCTCTCGATTGGACAATTGCCAGAGATGGGACCCCTGGAGCCAGGTCTCTGTCAATTTGAACTCTGAAGATCCCTGCGACCACTACCAGGTAAATGGACATTGGACAACAGTCCGGCCTCGCGTTTTTCATCTCATTTTATTGCACCAGACTTTGCCTGGTGGCAGGTACTACCGTGCTACGGCCTGTCATTAGCTGTTGTAACGCCCAGGAACAGTGGACTGGGAGGACTAAGAGGGGGATGTTGGAAATTTGACACAGCCAAAACGAGACAATCTCGACCGTTGCCGCGTCCCTTCGACTCCTTTTTCCGCTTGATACTTTGTCACTACTGAAAAAAGCCTACGCCCCCGCTCTCCCGAATACCAACCCGATTGCCCGTCCTAATACCTTACCGATCTTGTTGTCCTGCGCTTTCAATTTATTCCTTCTCCTTCCTTCCTTCCTTCCTTCCTTACCTCCTTCACCCTTCAGACCAAATACTTTACAGCCTTCCAGGTCTCCACCAAGTTTCTCTTCCTGCAAACAACTTTCCTACACGTTGTCTATTCACTACTCAACACAATGGTTACTTCAACAGCCTCTAACCTCGAGCGCGAGGACCATGCTCGCGATGCTCAATTCAATAAGGCACTGCACGGTACAAGTGCTCAGGCCACTGGTGGTCTTGCCGCCATGTTCAGCAAAGGCCGTGATGCGAAGCAGGCTGCCGTCGATGAGTACTTCAAGCACTGGGACAACAAGGCGGCAAAGGACGAAACTCCCGAGGAGCGCGCAGTATGTAACTCGACCTTTTCCCAGCCTTGAACCTATCTTTACTTGTCACGGATGCTGACCTTTGCTTGACATAGGCTCGTACAGCTGAATATGCGACCTTGACCAGACAGTACGCGGCGCCCCCCCCCCCCTCCTGTACAAACACTAGCTAATTCTGGTTTTATAGCTACTACAACCTGGCGACCGACCTGTACGAGTATGGTTGGGGCCAGTCCTTCCACTTCTGCCGTTTCTCCCACGGCGAGCCCTTTTATCAGGCGATTGCCCGTCATGAGCACTACCTTGCCCACCAGATCGGAATCAAGGAGGGTATGAAGGTGCTTGACGTCGGATGTGGTGTTGGCGGACCTGCGCGCGAAATCGCAAAGTTCACTGGCTGCCACGTCACCGGTCTGAACAACAACGACTACCAAATCGATAGAGCTACTCACTACGCTGCGAAGGAGGGCCTGTCGAAGCAGCTTGAGTTCGTCAAGGGAGACTTCATGGTACGTGGTTGTTATAGTGATCAGATCCATATTCAAATGATTAACGTTGATCTTGCAGCAAATGTCTTTCCCCGATAACTCCTTCGATGCCGTCTACGCCATCGAGGCCACCGTCCACGCACCCAGTCTGGAGGGTATTTACAGCGAGATCTTCCGTGTTTTGAAGCCCGGTGGCGTCTTTGGTGTTTATGAGTGGTTGATGACGGACGAGTACGACAACGACAACCTGGCCCACCGTGAAATCCGCTTGGGCATCGAGCAGGGCGATGGTATTTCCAACATGTGTAAGGTCTCTGAGGGTCTGGCCGCCATGAAGACTGCCGGATTCGAGATGCTCCACCACGAGGATCTTGCTGACAGGCCCGACCCCATGCCATGGTACTGGCCCCTGTCGGGAGAGCTCAAGTACATCCAGTCCGTCTTTGACATTTTCACTATTGTTCGTATGACCAAGGTGGGACGATTCCTCATGCACAATGTAGTTGGTGGACTCGAGGCTCTCAAGATTGCCCCTGCCGGTACGAAGAAGACGGCCGACAGTCTGGCATGGGCTGGCGACTGCCTTGTTGCTGGTGGCAAAGAGCACTTGTTCACACCTATGTACTTGATGGTCGGAAAGAAGCCCGCCAACTAGGCGTCACTTTTGTACGCCTTGGATGCAGAGATGACGGCATAGACGGACACCAACGGAAAAAGATTAGAGGCTATGAATTTTTCTACTCGCTGTACGAGTGTTACACCAGTACTATAATTGTAATTAGGCAACTGCAGCCAGACGGTTTTAACGACAATTCACGGTTGGCCATGATAGATAGGAAGTTAGGAAATGTGGGTGAGAGTTTTTCCAGAGGAAAATACGCTGGCCGATAAGCTGGCAAAAGTGACTGGCTACTACACAATGTCACATAGACGTGAGTCCAAGACGAGAGTTCCACATGCACATGCTTATGGCAGACTATTGTTTGTCCATGTAGCCCCCATCGCTTCTCAGCTCACCATCTATGGAAGCGGGTCAAATATTGCAGCAGGTTGCGTGCCGTAGGTAGCTATTGTGTACCGGCTGAGATTATGGATAAGGAGACTTGGGCTATCCTGCAAGGCAGTACATACGATAAATAGCAAGTTTAACGAATGATCCAGAGCCCATTACGGCAGGCCACATAAGAAAGACACTGCTCGAACCTTTTTATTCCTAACAGCCATGAACGAGGGTTGCGGATGATGGTGTCAGCTGTGCACATGATCACCATCACAGTTCTGGGTATTGCTCAAAGACTTTCTGTGGAACATGCATACCTATTGCCCAGACCACCTCATCGAGTCCCTTTTCGTTGATTCTCGCTCGGACCTAAGTGGCTCGCCGTTCGGATGGAAGCGGGTGGCACCGGGCGCATGGTGCGCAGAAAGCGTTTGCTGAGTAGGAAGCTTATGGAGATCCGTGTCCGGCCGTCCCTCGAGGGGGAGCTTAAGCCCGACGCCGACAAAGGAGTACTTAGAAAGGCCGATGCAAACACTCCCGTTAGCTGGGCTAGCCAGGAGTAATGCCAAGAGTATCCGTATTAACGCAGAAAATTTATGGAAGGGAGTCCTTAGGAAGCCAGCGGAGCTTATCGGGATTAAATCGGACCTGGGTTTGGGCGCAATCTGGATGGGGACTAATCGTTGAAATACAGCGTGATTGGCTCAGAAAAGTTACCCCCGATTATCTAATGCTCGAGAACACCGCTAATACTGAATAGGGCTAGCTCCCCGCCCGGGACCTCCCCAACGCTGTTGTCTGGCAGCTCGCCGCAATTCAACGGACTCAACGCCCATAGAGCTGAGCAAAAAAAAAAAAGGCTGCGAAATCCCTCGAGAGCTCCCCGTCGACTTTCTCATCCCTCTCACTTCGACGTCCAATTCTCGTCGTTGGCCATCGTCAACCCCACCACCCCGAGGTCACGTCTTGTCCATCCACGACATTTTTCTCCTCGTCTCCTCATTATCCAGATTCTCTTGGGATAACTAGCTTCTTTCGCGTTGCGACCTGTGCGTCTTTTCTACCATCCAATCCTCCTAAGACCAATATTCGCGATGTCCCGATTCCTCCGTCCCGCAGCACGCCTGGCGTCCTCTGCCAGAGCTGCCTCCCTCCGCACCTCCCCCATCTCTCAATTCGTTAGCCGGCCTGCTGCTTTCACCATCCAGTCACGGACATATGCCGACGCAAAGGGAACCAAGGACTACACTGTCCGAGAGGCCCTCAACGAGGCCCTCGCCGAGGAGCTTGAGGCCAATGACAAGGTCTTCGTTCTGGGTGAGGAGGTCGCTCAGTACAACGGCGCATATAAGGTCACAAAGGGTCTTCTGGACCGGTTCGGCGATAAGCGTGTCATTGATACACCCATCACCGAGAGCGGTTTCTGTGGTCTCGCCGTTGGCGCTGCCCTCAGCGGACTGCACCCTGTGGTAAGTTGCTTCCCCGGCAAGTCGATAAGGTCCATGGACTTTGAATTTGGCTATTCAAATATCCGAGCAACAACTCTCTAGCTCGAACTTATGGAATCAAGGTTTCGGTGGCCTGTGACTGACTCTTGTGTTTCCTCCAGTGCGAGTTCATGACCTTCAACTTCGCCATGCAAGCCATCGATCAGATCGTCAACTCCGCCGCTAAGACCCTCTACATGTCCGGTGGCATCCAGCCCTGTAACATCACTTTCCGCGGCCCCAATGGCTTCGCCTCTGGTGTTGCTGCGCAGCACTCTCAGGACTACTCAGCCTGGTACGGCAGCATTCCTGGTCTGAAGGTCGTCTCCCCTTGGAGTGCCGAGGACGCCAAGGGTCTGCTCAAGGCGGCCATCCGCGATCCCAACCCCGTCGTCGTTCTCGAGAACGAGCTCATGTACGGCCAGACTTTCCCCATGTCGGAGGCTGCCCAGAAGGATGACTTCGTTATTCCCTTCGGCAAGGCCAAGATCGAGCGCTCCGGCAAGGACTTGACCATTGTCACGCTCTCCCGATGCGTCGGCCAGGCTCTGGTTGCTGCTGAGAACTTGAAGAAGAACTACGGCGTCGATGTCGAGGTTATCAACCTGCGCTCCGTCAAGCCCTTGGACGTCGAGACCATTGTTCAGTCTGTCAAGAAGACCCACCGCCTGCTTTCCGTTGAGTCTGGATTCCCTGCCTACGGTGTCGGCTCGGAAATCCTGGCTGTGACGATGGAGTACGCCTTTGACTACCTTGATGCGCCCGCCCAGAGGGTCACTGGTGCCGACGTCCCTACCCCTTACGCGGCCGGCCTGGAAGAGATGGCTTTCCCTACTGAGCAGATCATTGAGAACTACGTCGCCAAGATGCTGCGTCTGTAAGAGAGTTGCGTGTTGTGGACGAGAGAGTACAGGCCTGGGCAAGCTGCCTCTTTGTGGCTTCCGAGGTGGAAGCTGATCTATAATGGCCCTTGGAGCTCGATAGACTTGGGGAAGAAGCTTGTACTTGTATGTTGCTTAGTTGTCATATATATGTCTCATACCCTGGGATTACAACTGTATGCGATGATCCATGCGCTATGGCATAAAGTAGTGAGCCCTTCGCCATTACGGAGTTCAACGTTGTCATGGCTGGGGCGGCCGATGAATGTCAGAGTGACGAAACAAAATATCCCTGGGCAAAATAGGTTCAGAGCCCAGGGACCGGGGAAATGAGGATACCATCTATGTGCGCCATCTATGGCCTGAAGCCACTCAGTGATGAAATAATTTGTCACAAAAACCCCAGGAGCCCGATGATAACTAATATGGAAGTCGTAACCGCTTTATGGCAGAGACTCCTCCATGTGCGATCTTGACTGAAAGTCATCCATCAAAGCTGCCCATCTCGAGCGAAGGTTACCCAAAAGCCTTCCCTTAGAATCATGGCTATTTTGTGATTTCCCCAACTAAGGTATGTAACCATGCGGCCTTTCACCTCAGGTGCTCAAATATTTTGCCTTACCTAAGGGAAGGAGAGGTAGGAGGGGCACACAAATGGAGGTACCTGAGGTGTCAGGTTACAGTGCGGCCACCCCGCACAGCGTCATCAGTGACCACTGCAGTCTCGCCTATGGGTAAGGTACCGTACCGCCTAACTTCATCCCACATCAAGTCCCTTCTTCCTCCCATACCTACCCCAAGATATACCAGCACTTGGCCTTTGTCAATGATAAGGTAGGCTAAGAGCCAATCTTATCGTCTCATCTCATCTGGCGTTCGTCTCGGCTCATTCTTTCGACAACGTTACGCAGCCCCCGCCGCAGATCGTCGTCAAGATGGCTTCCGACCTGGCTACGGCCATTCAAGGTCTCCATCTCGAGGACCTTCCCGACTCCAACATTGATGACATCTTATTTCAGCAACGGCCCAGCAAGCGCATCAAGCAAGATACTTCAGAGCTGAAGACGAGTCTGGAGACTGACTTTCTCATGCCATGCATGAAATTCTCACCTGAATGGCTCAATGGCCTGCAGCAGTATGCCCTTCAGACGCCAACAAATTCTGCCTTCCATATTCATTAGCTGATTTCTCCTAGGCGCTGGGATTGCCCCGTGGATTATACGGAACTTTTCAAAATTGGCAATCCTCAAACCAGGACTGTGACTCGCTTTGAACGGCACGGTCTTGAGGGCAGAGTGAGTGGCTACCGAAACGTTACCGTGCCTGCCAACAGCGCTACCGCCAAGAATTCGACCTCATTTCTTCGCAAGCCCGCCAATAGGGCTGATTTCGTCCGTGGAGCTGCCGGATTTTTCCCCTTCGCACCTGGTGGTCTTGATGGAATCGAGGCAACCGCCGCACTCGAGGACCAGGTTCACCGGTCTGGAGGCGGAGAGGCTACAGCTGCATCAAATAACAAGCTGGAGCGGGTTATTAAGCTTGGTACCGAAGGCGGGCTACTTGAGATTGCGCCTGGACTGAGTAGAGGATTCAATATCGATCAAAAGAAGCCAGATGAGGACGAAGCCAGGGCGATTGAGCAAGAGCTGGGCCAAGAACCAGAACTACCCCCAGGGACCGACGAAGCAGACGGCGAAGCGCAGACAAATGGCGATAAGCTGAATGAGATTGAGTCCGAGGACGAAGAAGATAGCGAGGATATCGACGCTATTCTGCCTGTCGAGTTCCCCGCTCTCGAACCTCATGGTGCCTTGGCCGCATCGAGTGCAAGGAAGGCCGGCCGAGAGTGGGCTCACATGGTTGATATTAACAGGGACATCACCAACTTCAGAGAATTGGTGCCCGATATGGCAAGAGATTGGCCCTTTGAGCTCGATACTTTCCAGAAGGAAGCCATTTATCATCTCGAGAGCGGTGATTCTGTCTTCGTCGCCGCACACACATCAGCCGGTAAAACCGTTGTTGCCGAATACGCCATTGCCCTCGCAACGAAGCACATGACCAAGGCTATATATACGTCCCCAATCAAGGCCCTGAGCAACCAGAAGTTCCGAGATTTCCGTCAAACATTCGACGAGGTCGGCATCCTGACGGGTGACGTTCAAATCAACCCGGAGGCCAGTTGCCTGATTATGACAACGGAGATTCTAAGAAGCATGCTCTACCGTGGAGCCGATCTCATCCGAGACGTCGAGTTCGTCATTTTTGACGAGGTACACTACGTCAACGATTTTGAGCGCGGCGTCGTTTGGGAAGAAGTCATCATCATGCTTCCCGAACATGTAACACTCATCCTTCTCTCGGCAACGGTTCCCAATACCTATGAGTTTGCCTCCTGGGTTGGACGCACTAAACAAAAGGATATCTACGTCATCTCAACACCAAAGCGACCTATCCCATTGGAACACTACTTGTGGGCTGGCAAGAACATCCACAAAATCGTTGACTCCGACAAGAAATTCATCGAGAAGGGTTGGAAGGAGGCCAATTCGGCGATTCAGGGCAAAGAGAGGACCAAGGCCCCCGAGCCCGTTAACGCGCCCCGCGGCGGTGGTGGTCAGAGAGGTAACCAGAGAGGAGGATCCCAGCGCGGCGGGCAGCGAGGGGGTCAGCGTGGCGGCGGTCCTCAGCAAAGAGGCCGTGGTGGAGCGCCGCGCGCTAATCACAACCCGGGTCACATGGGACGAACAGGTCGTCAGGGTGGGTTTACCTCTGCAGCCCAAGACAAGAACCTCTGGGTTCATCTGGTTCAGTTCCTCAAGAAGTCGAACCTTCTGCCTTCTTGCATATTTGTCTTCTCAAAGAAGCGGTGCGAGGAAAATGCCGATGCACTCAGTAACCAGGACTTCTGCACAGCGACTGAGAAGAGTGCCATTCACATGACTATCGAGAAGTCCGTTGCCCGACTTAAGCCCGAGGATCGGGCTCTGCCACAGATTATCAGACTCCGTGAGCTTCTGTCCCGAGGTATTGCGGTTCATCATGGAGGGCTGTTGCCAATCGTCAAAGAGATTGTCGAGATACTCTTTGCCCAAACACTTGTCAAGGTACTTTTCGCCACGGAGACTTTCGCCATGGGACTCAATCTACCGACTAGAACAGTCGTTTTCTCCGGATACCGTAAACACGACGGCCATTCCTTCAGAAATCTGCTTCCTGGCGAATATACACAGATGGCTGGCCGAGCAGGTCGCCGTGGCTTGGACACAGTCGGCTCGGTTATCGTCGTTCCGCCGGGCGGGGACGAAGCTCCTCCCGTTGCCGACCTTCAGAAAATGATTCTAGGAGAGCCGTCGAAGCTCAGATCCCAGTTTCGTCTCACTTACAACATGATTCTTAACCTACTCCGAGTCGAGGCTCTCAAGATTGAAGAGATGATCAAGCGTAGCTTCTCGGAACATGCTACCCAGCAGCTGCTACCTGAGCATGAGAAAGCAGTTAAGATTTCGGAGGCCGACTTAGCCAAGATCAAACGAGACTCATGTAGCGTATGCGACGTGTCTATGGACGAGTGCCACCAAGCGTCAGAGGACTACAAGCAACTCACCGGGGAAGTTTACAAGTCTCTCATGGGTATTCCCATCGGTCGCAAGATGTTCAGCCAGGCCCGCTTGATCGTTTACAACAGGGACGGTATTCGCACACCCGGCATCTTGCTGTCGGACGGCGCAAGTGACAAGGGGCAAGGTGGACCTACTTTACATGTTTGCGAGATCAGGCTCATGAGGGAGACCCGTGATTCGACAGACCTTCTGCCGTTCATCCCGGCCTTCCGCAAGTACTTGACTCCGCTACCGCAGGCGAAGAAGCACATGCGGATTAAGACCCTGCAGGTCCCTCTGAGTGATGTTGAATGTTTGACGAGGTACGTCACCAAGGGCATTGTGCCAGAAATTTTCCAGGGCGGGGAGAAGTACGCAAAGGCAAAGGACAGACTCCATGCGCTGTGCCGGTCGTGGGATGATCTTTGGGACGAGATGGACCTCTCCAAGATAAAGAACCTCTCATTTCAAGAGGTGATGAAGAAGAGAAAGGATGCAGAAGGCGTTGCCTCATCCTCGCCTGCTCTTTCTTGTCCTCAATTCTTGAAGCATGTAAGTTGAGTTATGGCCGACTTGAGAGGAAATTCAATCGCTGACATTGATTATAGTTTGCCATGTGCCATGATCAGTGGCTTATCAAGGAACACATCTCTCAGCTCCGGCAATCCCTCTCAGACCAGAACCTACAACTTCTGCCAGACTACGAACAGCGCATCCAAGTGCTTAAACAGCTCCAATTCATTGACGAAAGCGCCAGGATACTGCTGAAGGGAAAGGTTGCCTGCGAAATTCACTCGGGCGATGAACTCGTTTTGACAGAGTTGATCTTGGACAATGTGCTCGCCGACTATGAACCAGCCGAAATCGCTGCCTTGCTTTCGGCGTTTGTTTTCCAGGAAAAGACGGACACACAACCAAATCTTACGGGCAACCTCGAGCGTGGCAAAGATACCATCATTGCTATCAGCGAGAAGGTCAACGAAGTCCAGACGCTGCACCAAGTTATACAGTCTGCAGATGATTCGAATGACTTTATTTCTCGGCCTCGCTTCGGTCTGATGGAAGTTGTTTACGAATGGGCGCGAGGTATGAGCTTCAAGAACATTACTGATCTGACCGATGTCCTGGAAGGAACTATTGTGCGGACTATCACGCGTCTGGACGAGACATGTCGTGAGGTCAAGAACGCCGCTCGCATCATTGGAGACCCGGAATTATACCAGAAGATGCAGACAGCTCAAGAGATGATCAAGCGCGATATCACGGCAGTTGCCAGTCTGTATATGTAGACCTTGTTTTGCATGTGAGCAGCAAGCACACGCTTGGTTTTTCGCTCGAGGTTGATGGGAGCTGGTCCAGTTTAGTTTAGTTTACCTTAGGAATTAAACAAAGTGGTCA